GAGGAGAGAGTGGGGGAGGGGAGTAGGAGAGGCTCCGTACAAACTGGAATTCAGCGTCCATGTGCGCTAGGTTTCATATACGACCACGTGAATGTTTTGGCGCCTAACACAATCAGGTAATTTAGGATGCCGCTGGCCAAGCTGGTGAACAAGGTGAAGGAGACAGTTCAACGGGCAGAGTTGAAGTGAGTTTCTAACATTTCATTTTTTGAAGTTAGAAAAGTTTGATGGAGCGAATGTTATAATAAAAAGTCAGTGAGAAGGAGGGGATGACAGATCATGGTGCACCCACCATTATTCTTTTCTGAATATTTGCTTTATTGACTTTAAAAATTTAGGATGCCGCCGGCCAAACTGATGAACAGCGTGGAGAAGATAGTTCAATAAAGAGAGCTGAAGTACTGAAAGCTGAAGCCGTTGGTCTCACGGTGCAGTGTTATCATAGTTTGGCTGCTTGCATTGTGAATGGCCAGAATCGTACAGAATCTGATTTTTTGCGTGCCGTTGATTATTGTGATAAGGTGAGTTTTTTTTTTTTTTTTTTAATATTTTTCGATTTTTGTCTCATAAACTGTAAGCATTTAAAAATATTAGAACCAAATTTCTTGGCGTTTTTCTCGAAGAGTTATGGCGGTTATCTGTTGTTATGGTTCACTTTAAAGATACAAAAATCACTGCTATCGTTTTGTTTTTTTTTTTTTTTTAGGTTCTATCGTATGAACCTGGGAATGGAAAGGTTTTGCTTCTCAAGGTATCGGCACTCAGAAAAGCAAACAGGCTCGAAAATGCAGTTGCTTTTCTGCGGAAATACGATGACAACAGTTTGGTTTTGATTAATTCTTTAAATGGGAAATCGTTATTGATGATTTTTCATCTCTTCCTATCTAGCTGTTCCAGTTATTTATTAGCGTGCTGGAAACATATCCTGTACATGCCTAGTTTTTGCACAAGAATGGTTTAAATGTTGTTAGAAAGCGAATCTGAAAGCAATTGGTGCTCCATTAGTTTCATGCCTCGAAAAATAGCACTAACGTCGTTTAGAATGCGATAAATATTTGTAGATTCACATTCACATTCATTTACACGTTATTCAGTCGTCAAGCAGGGCACATATGTGCATGCTTACACACATGTCGTGCGGTTGGTACATAAGAAGCGAAGCGCAAAAGCACAGCGAAGGCTCACAGCTTTTAAGATCAGTGCAACGGAAATTCAGCAGCTGAACGTAAAATGTCTGGAAAGGAAGGGCCATAAAGCAGAGTTGTTAGTTGTGCATGCGAACTTTCCAACAAAATGAGCATGAAC